AATTTACAGATTCAATGCTATTCCCATCAAGCTACCAATGACCTTCTTCACAGAACTGGAAAAAAACACCTTAAACTTCATATGGAACCAAAAGAGAGCCCGCATAGCCAAGTCAATTCTAAGCAAAAAGAACAAAGCGGGAGGCATCACTCTACCAGACTTCAAACTATACTACAAGGCTACAGTAATCAAAACAGCATGGTACTGGTACCAAAACAGAGATATAGACCAATGGAACAGAACAGAGGCCTCACAGGAAATACAACATACCCACAACCATCTGATCTTCGACAAACCTGACAAAAACAAGCAACGGGGAAAGGACTCCCTGTTTAATAAATGGTGTTGGGAAAACTGGCTAGCCATGTGCAGAAAGCAGAAACAGGACCCCTTCCTGACACCTTACACCAAAATTAACTCCAGATGGATTAAAGACTTAAACATCAGACCTAATACCATAAAAACCTTAGAAGAAAATCTAGGCAAAACCATTCAGGACATAGGTGTAGGCAAGGACTTCATGACCAAAACGCCAAAAGCAATGGCAACAAAAGCCAAAATAGACAAATGGGACCTAATCAAACTCCACAGCTTCTGCACGGCAAAAGAAACAGTCAGTAGAGTGAATCGGCAACCAACAGAATGGGAAAAAATTTTTGCAGTCTACCCATCTGACAAGGGGCTGATATCCAGAATTTATAAAGAACTAAAGCAGATCTACAAGAAAAAAACAAACAAGCCCATTCAAAAATGGGCAAAGGATATGAACAGATACTTTACAAAAGAAGACATACAGGAGGCCAACAAACATATGAAAAAATGCTCATCATCACTGGTCATCAGAGAAATGCAAATCAAAACCACATTGAGATACCATCTCACACCAGTTAGAATGGCGATCATTAAAAAATCGGGAAACAACAGATGCTGGAGAGGATGTGGAGAAATAGGAACACTTTTACACTGTTGGTGGGAATGTAAATTAATTCAACCATTGTGGAAGACAGTGTGGCGATTCCTCAAGGACCTAAAAATAGAAATCCCATTTGACCCAGCAATCCCATTACTGGGTATATATCCAAAGGATTATAAATCATTCTACTACAAGGACACGTGCACACGAATGTTCATTGCAGCACTGTTTACAATAGCAAAGACCTGGAACCAACCCAAATGCCCAACGATGATAGACTGGATAGGGAAAATGTGGTACATATACACCATGGAATATTATGCAGCCATCAAAAACGATGAGTTCACGTCCTTTGTAGGGACATGGATGAACCTGGAAACCATCATTCTCAGCAAACTGACACAAGAACAGAAAATCAAACACCGTATATTCTCGCTCATAGGCGGGTGTTGAACAATGAGAACACATGGACACAGGGAGGGGAGCACTACACACTGGGGTCTGTTGGGGGGAAATGGGGGAGGGGCGGGGGGTGGGGAGGTGGGAAGAGATAGCATGGGGAGAAATGACAGATACAGGTGAGGGGACGGAAGGCAGCAAAGCACACTGCCATGTGTGTACCTATGCAACAATCTTGCATGTTCATCACATGTACCCCAAAACCTAAAATGCAATAAAAAAAAAAAAAAAAAAAAAAAAAAAAAAAAAAAAAAAAAGAAACACTGAATGCTGGCTGGGAACAAAAACAAAAACAAAAACAAAAAAAAATCTCCAATGCCCTTCAAGGCTAGTTTGCTTTGGGAAGACTTTGGGATGAAAACTTGGTGACTATGCAACTTACATTAAGGTAGAAAAAACTCTGCACCATGGAACTTAAGAGATCTGGCAGAATGTTTTAATTCAGTATGTTTACACTCTAAATTTCTTACAATTTTCTATCAAAGTAGCAAAGAAAGATATTACCATTATAATTTTTTAAGAAGGCCTATGAATCCATAGATGTTACCATTATAAAATGATTTAAACCAAATTCTAAGAATGTATTTTAAAATTCTTTTAATTAGGTCAGGTACAATGGCTCATGCCTATAATCCCAGCACTTTGGAAGACTGAGGTGGGAGGATCGTTTGAGGCCAGGAGTTCAAGACCAGCCTAGGCAACACAGTAAGACCATTATCTCTTAAAAAAAAAAAATAATAATAATAATAATTGGCTGGGTGTAGTGATGCCTCCCTCTCATCCTAGCTACTTGGGAGGCTGAAGTGGGAGGATCTCTTGAACTCAGGAGTTCAAGGCTGCAGTGAGCCATGATGGCCCCACTGCACTCCATCCTAGGCAACAGAGCAAGACACTGTCTGTCTCAAAATAAAGAAATCATTTTAATTAAGTTTAGTCTCTAGGATATAAATTAGCATTGCCAATTTTTATTCAACTCGATTCAACAAACATAATAAATACCTACACTTCTAACCAAAAAGTTGTACAAAATAGAAAAACAGTAAATAAGAAATTTACAACACAACTGCCCTCTGTAGCCTAGGTCCTCAGTTTTCTTACCTACAGAATAACAGAATTAAAGATGATCTTGTTTCTAAATTTTGGATTATGTGTTATCTAAACAGTGAAATTCAACTCAGTTTAACGTAAGTAATGTTGAAGGCAGCAGTGCTTAAGTCTGGTAAGAACTAAAGTATTTATTCCTAATTATAACCAGGAAAACAAACACAAAATAGCCTTTGAAAAATTGATCAGTAGAATGATCTCTCCAATCTCCAACTCTATGTAGATGAGAAAGACGAAATTCTAAAAGGCCTCAGAAACTTGTTCTAAACTCAGTTTTCTTAAATATCTTTAATGATGAAATATGAAAGCATTTCATATTCCATAGTCCTCAAAATATAAATGATTCAAACATCACTAGCCAGAGTAAAATTTCTACCAAATCTATCTTACTCTTCTTTGCACCCCCGTGGTATGCCAGAACTGACAGTAGTAAATCCATCAAGGGTTACCTTGCTCTCCGTTTATCACCATTAAAAACGTTATTAGTTATAAATTGTGTTCCTCCTCTACCAAAATTCATTTGTCGAGGTCCTAACCCCCCAGTAACTTAGAATGAGACTTTATTTGGAAATAAGTTCAGTGTAGATGTAACTAGTTAAAATGAAGCTATACTGGAATACAGTGGACTCCTAATGCAATGATTCCTATCCTTGTAAAAGGAGGAAATTTGATACAAACAAGGAGAATACCATGTAAACATAAAGATGGCCATCTACAAGCCAAGGAGACTAGCCTGAAGCCCTCTCACAGTCCTTAACAGAGAACCAACCTTGCATAGACTTTGAGCTCAAACTTCGAGTATCTGGAATGGTGAGACAATATATTTCTGTTATTTAAGCCATCCAGTTTGTGATACTTCGTTACAGCAGTTATAGCAAATGAATGAATACATTACTACACAGAAAATGGTGAAAAACCCAATCAAAATATCATCAAAGCCACAAATCCCAAAGTAGCACTCCAAATTTCAATGCAAAGCCAATAATCTAACAGATCGCGTACTTCTAAGAATCTAACAAAAGTCACTTTCACACAAACATGAACGGTTTCCATACTGCACAATTAACTCAAGAGGCTCACTGATCCTGTACCCACATCAACTCTGAACACTGCCGAAGGTGTGTGGGCCCCTAATTAAGAACCCCTGCACTGACCCGTGGTATCTATGTGGGGAGAGAAAGCTAGATCACATACCAATCTTTTAACAACAACAAAAAATTATCGGTATTATCTTTGAATAAGAAGAGTTTAGATAAACTAATGACAATTTTTTTCTTCAGTATGTTCTTAAAACACTGTAGTTGTGTATTACAACTACAATATCAATTTTTAAAAAGGGCAACTTTTAAAAATGTGTATATAGTTACATCTGAAAGTAAGTAAAACTTCTGCACTACAGCACATTTTATCTTAAAGAAGGAGTCAAATACAATGATGCAGATAACCGGCTGAAGGAAATTTTTCATAGATATAGACTGATGTGAGTTCTGATTCTTAAAAATACAGATCTGTGGTAAGACTCAAAGTTTTTGCCACGTTTCTTTATTTTGTACACTCAACTTCATCTTTAGTAGATGACAATAAGACATCATGGCAAAATTCTAAGAACAAAAGATTAAAAAACAGAAATCTAAAAATTTTACATGAGTATTATCAATCATCCACGGCATCCTGCCAGTCAAGAACAGGCTCTTCTACAAACACAGATTAAAATGGCATGATCTGGCCAATAAAAAGACAATTCCAATATCCAATTATGAAGATACAAAATATTTTAATTTCTTTCCACAGTTAATTAGTTCTCAGCAGAAAGCACAACGGAAAGATATATAGTTAACACACAGAGTCTAAGGACAATTTGAAAAATGTTAACCCCCACTTAAATAGAAAAGAAAATGAGTATTAGATTTCTGCTCTTTCAAAATGTGCTAATCTAATTAATTCAGTCTAGAAAAGTGATCCATGGAAGAATGTTGTATTCTATCTTGGGAAAGGGTATTTAAGCAAGTTAAGTGCTGTTACAGCCAAAATCACTATCCCATATATATTCTACAGAAGTTATCATAAATGTAAAAAGCAGGCAGTGTAAAAGCAGCAAAAAAGTTCCTGGATTTACAATCAGAAAGGGGCTCTATTTCTCCAACTTCTGGTACTAACTACACATGTGACTATAGGCAAGGTTATTTCACCTCTCTGGACCTTGATTTCTCAACAGTAAAATAAGGGGATTAGATTTTAATTATCACTACGCTTTCTGTCATTTCTCAAAATGATCTCCTAAAAACCACTGGGTGTGGTGTCACATGCATGTACCCAGGAGGCTGAGGTGGGAGAATCCCTTGAGGGCAGGAATTCAAGTCTGGCTTGGACAACATAGAGAGACTCATGGCTATTTTTTTTTTAAATCCCACATTTTAAAATCTAAAATATGCCATTCAGAATTCCAGACAGATGTTTTACGTACTTTATATGACAAATATGAATTAATCAGTTTTTAACTAAGAGAGGCGGGGATATTTCTTACCTGAGAGCTTACTGTCATGTAGCAAATTTCGAAGCTTACTACAAAGTTGAATCATACTGTTCAGTTGTCTATTAATCTTCACATCTTGTATCCAGGCTGGGGTGTAACACACTGGACATTCAGTTCCAATACAGTCGCTTACACAATTACTTTAAAAAATAAAAAAATAGAAAAAAATCAACATATTCGGCAGAATCTAAATTCCAAAAATTAAACAGTTTGAACAGAAATAAATGCAGCAGAGGTTATTCTAACAAGTGTATTACAAGGTCAGTTGTAATACAGGGTCAGTTGTAATACACTTGTTAAATACTGTTTAAAAGAGTAAAATACACACACACACACACACACACCAAACCTAAAATTGCTCATGTAATTTGCTATGAAGAGACTTAACGTAGCCTGACATTAGTCTGTATAACTTTTCCTGCAAATAAATCTGTAGCTTCTAAAGATTACAGAGATGTAACAGAAAGACAGAATATCTAAGGTATAGTAGCCATGCATCCTAACTTATTCTATCTTTACATTCCATAAAAATAATTACCAAAAACTACTGCAGAGACTAAGACCTTTTGTTTTGTTTCTGGACTAGTATCTCAAGGCTTTAAAGTAGCTTTTGAGAAAAGATCTTTGGTTCTTTCAGACAATTTTATAACCTATCAGTTCTCAATTACCTGGGTTATCTAAGCATTAGTTTCATAGTTAGAAGGGTTTTTCTAATTTTGGGGTTCACAAACCTTTTGCAAATCTGATGAAAACATGTATGTATTCATGTAAAAAGAAGGATTCAAAATCCGCACCCCTCCCCCCGCACACACACAAGCCCATTTGTTTATTCCAGAATAAGAATTCTATAAATTTACTCCTTCATTGGCCTCACCAGATGGGTTCCAGCAACACTGAGTAACATAACAGTTGAAAAAGCCACATCTTCCCCAAGCACTACAGGACATTCCTTGTCACTGGACCCAATCCTCTGTAGGCAGAGAGGATTCTTATAATATGAACTATCTTCAGAAAAACCTATGCCATTTCTAATTTTTGTATCCTTGGCTTCTAGCATCATTCCTGAAAGAATGGAACTCAAAAAAAAAAGTTGTAAAATTAATCTGTAACCCATACCAGAGCTGGCAGAGACTTTTGTGACCATCTGACTCAAAAAATGTCACGGGGGTCAATAAATGTCAATTTTAGCAAAGGATCTTCTATACATTTGTTTGCTAGTAGTTAAGAACTCCAACTTGGAACCCCAATACAAAAAAATATGTAAACCTGATTACTCAGGCAATTTAAATCATTTGTGTAAGACTTAATTAGTAAAACGCAATCTGAAATCAACTGATCAAGAACCACCACCTCATTTTTGAAGAAAATGGGATCCAGTTAAAGTCACTTGCCCTGCACTGCACTAGTACTCAGATCAGACTATTATCTTACATATTCTGTAACATTTTATAAACTAGTCCCAAATTATTTTATATACATTCATTCAGAAGTCTGAAAATATGTCATTTTTCAGTAGATCTGTATAGCTCCATGAGCGAATTATTTCCCAAATGACCCATATGCGATGTTCTAAAATCATGCTGAGTAAAAGATAAATTACAGATACTAGATAAACCAATGGAATTTCACATAACACAGTATAAAAATTTACTGATATTATTTGAGACTCCACACTGTGATGAACCGAAAGAAAACAGCACTTGTTGGCCAGGCATGGTGATTCATGCCTGTAATTTCAGCACTTTGGGAGGCCAAGACAGGAGGATCACTTGAGCTCAGGAGTTCAAGACCATCCTGGGCAACATGGCAAAACCCTGTTTCTATTAAAAAAAAAAAAAAAAAAAAAAAAAAAAAAACCACTACAAAAATTAGCCAGGTGTGGTGGGGCACACCTGCAGTCCCAGCTACTCAGTAAGTGAAATGGGATGATCAGCTGAGGCCAGGAAACTGAGGCTACAGTGAACCACGATGGCACCACTGCACTCCAGTCTGGATGACAGAGACTCTTGTCTTCCAAAAAAAAAAAAAAAAGGCACTTGTCAAGTTTTGGTGTAGTATTAAGGAATAGCCACGGTTTTCTTCAAAAGCTATTGGGAAAAAAAAATGAAAAACAACCAAAAAATACCTGATTTGAATCTTAGAAAAATGAAAGAAAAATTAAAAAAAAGTAAAAGCTATTGAAATACTTTATAAATACTTTATAGTATTTTAACTACAAATATGTATAAGGCCAGATTTTCTTCAATCAAAAGAACCTATCACAATAGACTGAACACATAAGCTGAAAATGTAGCTGTTTTCTATTCAGCAAGACAGAGATTTGCAAAAATGCAAAACAGTGCCATTCTATTTTTTCCTTGATTTGTAAAATTGTTATTTTTTCCTTAAAAAAGTGTTATTTGGCCGGGCGCGGTGGCTCACGCCTGTAATCCAAGCACTTTGGAGGCCAAGGCGGGCGGATCACCTGAGGTCGGGAGTTCAAGACCGGCCTGACCAGCATGGTGAAACCCCGTCTTTAATTTAAAAAAAAAAAAAAAGCCGGGCGTGGTGGCTCAAGCCTGTAATCCCAGCACTTTGGGAGGCCGAGGCGGGTGGATCACGAGGTCAAAGAGATCGAGACCATCCTGGTCAACATGGTGAAACCCCGTCTCTACTAAAAATACAAAAAATTAGCTGGGCATGGTGGCGCGTGCCTGTAATCCCAGCTACTCAGGAGGCTGAGGCAGGAGAATTGCCTGAACCCAGGAGGCGGAGGTTGCGGTGAGCCGAGATCGCGCCATTGCACTCCAGCCTGGGTAACAAGAGCGAAACTCCATCTCAAAAAAAAAAAAAAAAAAAAAAAAAAAAGTGTTATTTAAGGCCGGGCGCGGTGGCTCAAGCTTGTAATCCCAGCACTTTGGGAGGCCCAGGCGGGTGGATCACGAGGTTGAGAAATCGAGACCATCCTGGTCAACATGGTGAAACCTCGTCTCTACTAAAAATACAAAAAATTAGCTGGGCATGGTGGCACGTGCCTGTAATCCCAGCTACTCAGGAGGCTGAGGCAGGAGAATTTCCTGAACCCAGGAGGCGGAGTTTGCGGTGAGCCGAGATCACACCATTGCACTCCAGCCTGGGTACCAAGAGGGAAACTCTGTCTCAAAAAAAAAAAAAAAAAAAAAAAAAAAGTGTTATTTATGTTTATATGTAATGGGTTTATTATTTTTAAATGAATTCTTTAAGTCTCAGTTTTGTATGATAAATACACACACGTATGCACACACAAAAGCTCTTAATGATTCTCAATTTTGAAGAATGTGAAGTGGTCTGAGACCAAAATATCTGAGCAACCCTGCACGTGTCTTAAACAAACTGTTAAACAAACTGTATCTTAGAGAGTAGGTGAATTACTTTTATCAGTTGGACTGAGCTGTGTCAAAATCATTTGAAAACCTCATTGCTGAGCATTTTATTTTAACTCAAAATCTGCAAAGAATAAAAACAACTACCATAATTTTTGACATTATATAATCAAAATACATCAAAACTTCACTGAATGCATTCTTTGCTATGCTCATGTCATATACACAAAATCATTTTCTCTTTTAAGATGTTCTCATGTCTCAACCTTTTATTGGCTGTTTTAAGTCACAGAGGCATTTAGAATCCCCTTTAGAATTTGATTAAAAAGTATGGATCCCTGTGTTCTCATTGTTCAACACCCGCCTATGAGTGAGAACATGCGGTGTTTGCTTTTCTGTTCTTGTGTCAGTTTGCTGAGAATGATGGTTTCCAGGTTCATCCATGTCCCTACAAAGGACGCAAACTGATTGTTTTTGATGGCTGCGTAATATTTGTGTATATGTACCACATTTTCCCTGTCCAGTCTATCATCGATGGACATTTGGGTTGGTTCTAGGTCTTTGCTATTGTCAACAATGCTGCAATGAACATTCGTGTGCATGTGTCCTTATAGTAGAACGATTTATAATCCTTTGGATATATACCCAGTAATGGGATTGCTGGGTCAAATGGGATTTCTGTTCTTAGGTCATCGAGGAATCGCCACACTGTCTTCCACAACGGTTGAAATAATTTACACTCCCACCAACAGTGTAAAAGTACACACTGGGGTCCGTTGGGGAGAAATGGGGGAGGGACGGGGGTGGGGAGGTGGGGAGAGATAGCATGGGGAGAAATGACAGATATAGCTGAGGGGAAGGAAGGCAGCAAATCACACTGCCATGTGTGTACCTATGCAACAATCTTGCATGTTCTTCACATGTACCCCAAAACCTAAAATGCAATTAAAAAAAATAATAAAAATAAAAATAAAGATCCAGTTAAGGGGAAAAAAAAAAAAAAAAAAAAAGTATGGATCCCCTACCCGACCACACACACAAACCAGCTTTGTATAAAAATGTCACAGAGTTCATCACGCTCTAGCAGCTTTGGGACTGACCTATTGTACACAGTAAGCAAACCCGTCGTCCGTCTGCTGAAACAAAATACAACTGCTTGCTACAGAGTGGGGAGAGGGAGTGGGCATCATTTCGTAAGCAAATCCATGGGAGGCGTTTTGGAGGCAGTGACATTTCAGTTGAAATGTAACTGATAAAAAGTAAGCCTCACAGAAATCTGGCATAAGTACATTCCACGTGGAAGAAATAGCAAGTGGCAAAGTCCTGGGCGGGAGTAAGTTTGGTGTATTTAATGAACTAAAAGTAGAAGTTCTGGAACAGTGAGAGGCAGAGGTAAATGACGTCTAAGAAGCAGGGTCTAGGTCCTATAAAGCATTTTGCAGACCACGGGGCAGAATTTGGATTTTATTCTAATTGCACTAGGAAGCCACTAAAGAGTTTAAGCAGGGTAATGATACGAACATTATTGAGATTTTTCAAAGATCACCGTCAAGAATGTAGAAAATGAAGAAGGGGTGATGATACCAAAAAGTAAAGACCAGTTATGAACCTATCACAGTAGTATGAGCAGAGGTAATAGAATGATGGCTTGGAACAAACTATAAACTGCAGCAAATTCAGAAAACAGGTAGAAAAATTCAAGATTCAGGACACATTCTGAGGCAGAATGGACAGAACTTAGTGATGTGGGATGAGCAACTTAGCAGTAAGTGGTACCCTTTACTATGATGAAGATTACCCAGGCAGGAAAAGGCTGAAGAGGAGGATGATCAAGAAATCAGCTCTGAACATACCAACTTTAAAACGCCTTTTCTTTCATCATTCAAACAGAGGTATCTGGTAGGCAACAGGTACCATCTCCTATCCCATCCTCCTGCTGGATCTCTCTCATATAACACCTATTTTTTCAGAAACAAAAATTGGGACCCAAAACATAGCTGCCTCCCAGACGACCTTAGCCCATGAAGTAACACACAAGGTTATTTTCATATATGCTCAAATTTCCGAATGCAGTTTGTTCATGCCAGATAGCAACATAATCATAACTGGAAATAATTAAAAGATTAATTCAAAGGAGGCTATACTTACCCTATCACATAGGCAATTAAACAATTAAACTAAGACATTGAATCTCTCAACTGATTTCTCCTGAACAAGAAATAGGAGATAAAAGTTTAATCTTCTGACCTACAAGCCACAGCCGTCACATGGATATAATTTCACAATAACTGTTATTGAATTGTGTCCCCCAAAAAGATGCTTGAGTCTTTACCCCTCAGTAACTGTGAATATGACCTAATTTGGAAACAGGGACTCTAGATGATCAAATTAAGATGAGATCATTAGGGTTAGCCCTAATCAAATATAACTGGTATTCTTATAAAAAGGGGAAATGTGGCACAGAGAGAAGCATGCACTCAAGGAAGAATGCACAAAAGCAAAGACCAGAGTGATGCATCTCAAAGTCAAGGAACAGCAAAGACCGCGAGGGGAAAGACATGGAGCAGATTCTCCCTTGAAGCCCGTAGAAGGAACCAACGTTGCCATCATCTTGATCTTAGACACCTATCCTACACACTATAGAGAAAATACATTTCTGTTGTTCTAAGCCACCCAGTTTTTGGTTCCTTGCTATGGCAGCCTTAGGAAACTAATACAATAACTATAAGAACTATACTTTCATAATTTTGAGTCGACTCAAAACTTAGCTGGAAAATTTAAAAACACATATTATGTAAAAGATATTAATTTTTTTCCTCAAACTTGGCAAAGCTGTCTACTAAGCTTTGTAACTTTGGACAAGTCATCCTCTTGGAGCTCTGTTTTTCTTTCTTATTTGTAAATTAAGACACAGTTAGAAATATCAAGATAATGTACAACAGGTTACTTTGCAGACTTTGAAAGTTACACAGACATAAAGTACTATAAGTATCAACAAGACTACATGATTGTTATTTAGTAAAAAATATAGTTGTCCTATATACATCAAGCTATAATTACTTACCTACAGAAGATGTGTTCACAACCTCCTAAGCATACAGGCTCTCTCAGAATGTTATTGCTGTTTGAAGAAATTAAAACAATAAAGATTTAAGTCATTGTTGAACATTTCCCACCCATCATTTCATCCAAGACCCAACACTACTGTATTTCTCACTTTCTCAAAGTAGAAGGTATTAAGGAAGTACTCATTTGAAAGGCCGTTTCTCCCTGGTTAAATATTATACCATAACATATCTGCTGATTTTAAATAGCAACTACCAAACTCAGTACAAGTTATAATACATTTTAAAATATATCTTCTAGAAAGTTGGAGAAAGGAACAAATTTGTTCAAGTATCTCTAAACCTCTTAAGGCAAAACCAACTACTGGCTGCTTCTTTCAACTACTAAGGTGTATGATTGACAGATCATATACCTCAAAATGTAAACCACAAGTAGAATGACCATATAACATATTGTCCAAATGAGAAAACTTCTGAGAGTGAAGAGGAGTGATAATTGAATAGGATGCTGGGATAGCAGGAATAAACCAGGACTGCCCCAGACAAACCAGAGATCTAGTCTCTTTGACTATAAGAATCCATGGTTTCCAATTAGAAAAAAAAAACATGAGTTTCTTACAACTGTAAAGTAGCCATTTATTTTTCACAGATATATTGTGAAAAATGCAGCCATTCTTTTCACTTCACAGAAAGTTTATTGTTCTTTAAGCAAATGCAAACAGAAATCATCAGGCTGGCAGTGTGTCTGCAGACAGAATGAAGTTCCCTGCACTGAGCAAAGAGACACAGAAGCAAAATATTCCTAATGTTGCCCATCAAAATACCTGCTACATTTGTTAATCCTAAGAAGGTAATGATACTAATAAATACACACCAAGCCATTATACTCAGTGGATGTAATGTACCCAGAGAAGTAAATCCTTTTAAATGATGAGTACTTTTAGTGCATGGTTTACTATATTAACTCTAAAACCTTTAGGTCTTTACACTGTTATTATCAAATTACCTCTGTACACATACCACATATCAGTAAAAACAATTCTCCACATTTCTTGAAAGATCTAAGGTATCACACTGCACATCTTAATGGATATGAACATTCAAGTGAAATTGAGCTTTTCGGAAAGACTGCTATAAACAGAATATACACCCACAATGTTATTCTCAAGATACTAAAAATGGTGCTCACTGACATTACAAAACCTATTAGTTTTTAAAAACTCACCATGTCTGATTTTTGTATCATAGTATGTACAACATACTGATAAAAATACGATTTGTGTTTCTGGCAATTAACATGATCTCTTTTAACATTCATACTGAGCCTCTAATTTTTGTTATTTGACCTACCAAACCTAACCTCAAGTGTACTGAATTCTATTTCACGGCAAGTTCTGTCTTTAAGATCTCAAAAGTGGTGTTCTTTTACCTCCTCCTATCACAATATCCTTCCTCTATCTCTTTTATTATATCACCCTGACCAAACCTTCACCTTCAGGTTGCTTGCTACCTTCAAAGAATTCCATTTCGTTTCCTAACACCTTGGATTCCCTATCCAGCCCAGGCCACAGTTAACCATTTCCAAGTCATTTTCACCACTACCTAATTCTGCTGACCTCTTAGACACTCATGGATGCCAATATATAATGCTCGGTAGGTCCCAGAGTCCACTTGTTTCCTGCCCACTCAGGCTGTAAATAACCACTATAAAAAGAAATAAAGATGTATAAGTTTCTGTCTACAAATTTATTTGGTAGCAGCTGGGAACTGTGGATCATGTCTGTAATCCCAGCACTTTGGGAGGCTGAGGTGAGAGGATCACCTGAGGCCAAGAGCTCAAGACTGGCCGGGGCAACATGGTGAAATCCTGTCTCTATTAAAAATACAAAAATTAGCCAGGTGTGGTGGCGCACACCTGTAATCCCAGCAATTTGGGAGGCTGAGGCACAAGAATCACATGAACCTGGGAGGTGAAGACGGCAGTCAGCCAAGACTGTGCCACTGCACTCCAGCCTCGTGACAGAGCGAGACCCTGTCTCAAAAGAAATAAATAAAATTTTAAAAATACAGAAATTCGCCAGGTGTGGTGGCACATGCTTATAATCCAAGCAACTTGGGAGGCTGAGGCACAAAAATTACTTGAACCCGGGAGGCAGAGATGGAGATGAGCTGAGATTACGCTACTGCACTCCAGCATCGGTGACAGAGCCAGACTCTGTCTCAAAAAAATAAAATAAAATAGGCATAAAATGTATTTGGTAGCTTCTTCATCTTTGTATCTCTAGCAAGTGACATATTTGATATTCTGTAAGTAAACAAACAAATGAATAAATGGCTATTCAAAACAATCTCTATGCTTCCTTATCTCATTAACCTTACTGAAGCTTAACAGTGTGAGTTTTTTACCACCATTTTATCTCTTCATCAGAAATCTTACCCTTCCTAGAGTCTCAGAGGAAAATTCGATCTCCTTTAACCACTCTTCACAAAATGTGCTGCTCTATCTCGAGTTCTCATATCTTTTCTGTCTCCCAAAGTACTGGATATTCATAGAGTTGCCTTCTCCCATTTGCATCTACACAAAAACAGGTAAGCTCTCCTTCAATGCAGAAAAAACACTTTCTTTTGATGATACCTCCCATTCTACCTTCTGCTCCAGCTCTTCCCTTTCTTGAACAGATAAAAGTTCTTGAACAGAGTGCTCTAAACCAGCTACTTCCATCTCCTCACCTTCCTCGCTTTAACTCCTTCCACTCTGCCGAAACTGTTCTCCAAAGCATTTTTGCTTCCCTTCTTCCTGACCACTCAGGAAAATAGCATTAATCTCATCTTCTTTCCCAAAACCTTTCTTTCCCCTGAATTTTAATATTTTTCTGCACATTTATCTGCCTATTTCAGCATTTCCTTAGCTGCTTTTCCTACCTCTCGATGTAGGCATACCCCTCAGGACGTAGTCCATAGCCTTCTGTCTTTCTCTGGCAATGCTTGACTCAATCCCTTGATTCTGTTTCTCAACCTTAAATTTCCTTCCTAAGATGACTGAACTCTTTACCTATAGCTCTTACTCATCACTCTAGCAATAAGATGCTATCATGTTTTAGCAATGAATTAATATTTGGGGATAAATCATCAGTTGTACTAATTATTCTAATTATCGAGCTAGAATATATATTTGTGTTGCTGTTAACAGATAAGGAAAGACACTGGAAATGTGAATGAGAAGTATGTGCACTTGTGTGTATTGGGGGAGGGAACAAGGAAGGAAGTGTTTGAGCCAGGCTGAGAGAGAGGGAAGTGCCAAATTCAAAAGAATTTCAATGGAAAAGCTCAAAAGGTGAGCTGAACTGATCTGTGCCAAAGTTAGATTTTGTGAGGATGGCTAGTGCTTAGCTGAGAAGATATACCGGAATAAAAAAATGTTTAGTCAAGTGCAGTATCACAGGCCTGCAATCCCAGTTACTCAAAAGGCCAAGGTAGGAGGATCACTTGAGCCCAGGAGTTCAAGGCTATAGCATGTCATGATCGTGCCTGTGAAGAGCCACTGCACTCCAGCCTGGACAACATAGCAACAACACGTTATATTTAGAAATTTTTTTTTAAATTATTACAACTAGGAGATTACCTGTCAAGAATATAAATGTATCCAACTTTAACTCCGCTATTCCACTGCCAGAAATTTAGCCTTCAGCACAACTAGATACTTGCAAAAATGAAACTTTCAAACATCAAAGCCATCTAGACAAGATTCTAAAAGCATCCAGAGATTAAAAAATAAAATTAAATGTCATATATATGTTTTTAAAAAGGATTCAGGATAGCATAAGACTTCTCAAGGATAATAAGATGCTACAGAAGTGTGAAATGAGGCTTGCAAAATAATTATTGAAAAGTACTTTTACTTCGAATTCCATATCCACTTAACTTCCAGTGTCAAAGTTAACAGTAATAAGAAAATCCATTTTTAACGGCCGGGCGCGGTGGCTCAAGCCTGTAATCCCAGAACTTTGGGAGGCCGAGGCGGGTGGATCACGAGGTTGAGAGATCGAGACCATCCTGGTCAACATGGTGAAACCCCGTCTCTACTTAAAAAAATACAAAAAATTAGCTGGGCATGGTGGCTCGTGCCTGTAATCCTAGCTACTCAGGAGGCTGAGGCAAGAGAATTGCCTGAACCCAGGAGGCGGAGGTTGCGGTGAGCTGAGATAGCGCCATTGCACTCCAGCCTGGGTAACAAGAGCGAAACTCCGTCTCAAAAAAAAAAAAAAAAGAAAATCCATTTTCGAGAGTAGTTAGGAAGTTAATAATGTCTAAAATGTTAAATAAAAAAAAAAGTCACAAAAAATAGCAAAATAAACGTATTTGGAAATATAGAGGTATGTGCTTGCAAAACTAAAAAAAAAAAAAAGCATGAAAGATGTTTCTGGAGCATAGAATTCAGGGGTGATGAAGGAGGAGGCAAAGAATGTTTTCATTAATAGTCTGTCCTATGGACTCTGTCAATAACTGCATTTAAAGACATTTTATTGGGAGGCCGAGGCGGGTGGATCACGAGGTCAAGAGATCGAGACCATCCTGGTCAACATGGTGAAACCGCGTTTCTACTAAAAATACAAAAAAATTAGCTGGGCATGGTGGCGCATGCCTGTAATCCCAGCTACTCAGGAGGCTGAGGCAGGAGAATTGCCTGAACCCAGGAGGCAGAGGTTGTGGTGAGCCGATATCGCGCCATTGCACTCCAGCCTGGGTAACAAAAGCGAAACTCCGTCTCAAAAAAATAAATAAATAAATGAAATTTTAAAAAAATAAATAAAAATAAAGACATTTTAAATGTAAAAGCACGTGGCATCAGTATCACTCCAGCACTGCTTGTTACAGCAAAAGACCACAAACAACCTCAATTTTTACCAATAAGGAAATGGTTAAATGAATCATGCAACAACTAATGATGTTTAGTATCTGCTCATCTGAGGCAGTACAATGCTTTTATGAACATTAAACCTCTTAAAGGATACATAAGACATTAATTATGATTGACTGAAGAAGAGAATTCACACTT